CTCCTGACCCTTCACCAGCTGCATTGCCCTTTGGACACGTCCTAAAGTGTGCCATTCCTTTGTACCTTCCACGTCTCACTTATAAGGATGAAGTTACTTCTCATAGTCAATGAAGGCACTATGTACTGGATCTAGTTGCTAGATTTAGAAAAAAATAAAAGTTGGAACTTCAGGCAAGACTGTATGTTTATTGTATGTTCATACCTGAGCAATGTTGTATGTTCGCATGCTTTTACTGCTGTGCAAGCATGATTTAGGAACAATTATGTTTTTGGTTGAAGGATAGCTTTTGCTACAGATAACTGTCTATAAAAAAGATAGCTTAGGTAATTTGCTTATAAAGAACAAATATGGCTAATGTGGAGTCAGTGTTGTTTTATTTCTCTGAGCTTTTTAGCCTGTGAAATTTCAGGTGATGTGATTCCTTTCAGCAGCTGAAGCATACACTGGATATGTTGCTTTGTGACAGCAGTGGAGGCACAGTTGTGTTTTCATGCTGTTCAGAACAGCCTGACAGATCCATAACTGCTGCAGCTGTATTTCCCTGCAGGAAACTGACAGGCCCCTCTCAGTCCCCATGTACAGGACTGGTTCTTGAAAAGTTGGCACATTTCTGACAGGCCTCTGCATGTTCAGTGCTTGCGATAATTTTTGGATAGGGTCCAATATCCACACTGTTTGTAGTCTTTATGCTTTTTATTTTTACTGCATTTGCTGTCAGGGAAAATGGTGCTATTTGGAAGTACCTTGAGAAATGTGAGTTGGCTGGATAAACTGAGTTTCTCTGCTTCAGTGTGGTTTTTTGCCTCCTTTTCTTCACTGAGTCCCTGTTCGATGTTACATCTTTTTGTGAAGGCAGCCAAACAATTGGAATGTTTTTGCCAGGAGATATAATTTTTGCTTAATGCTATTACTTGTACTATTGGTTTATGAATTTGGCACTAAGTTACCACTTCACATTTTTATGGGCATATAATATTCTGTGATTTTATTTTTGCTTTTATGGTAAAATTTGGGCTAGCAACTTAGTTCAGTGATAAAAGAAATTATGGTGTGGGGATTTGGGAATTTCAATATATTGAATATACTCTACAATGAATTTTACAAACATAAGCACTGTATACTCATGTTTCATGGATCATTTCCATAGTTAGCTTTGGAGCTCTTTAGGTCCTCTAAGTTTGGGAGGAGGATGGATTTTGTGGGGCTTGAGGCAAAAGCTTTTAGAAAGATAGGTGAAATAGCTGTACCAGTGGTCCATTTTTGGTTCACTGAAGGATGGTGTACAAATCAGTATTTGACATTAGGCCTAATGCCAAATCCTCCAGTCATGTAGGAAAATGGGGTACTCAAGACTGGTAGGGCTCAAAATACTGTGCTGATGCTGTTGTACTGTTTCCTTCCTGTTGGCATTCAACCTGTCTGCCACATTTGGTTATACCTCACTACTATTTGGTTGTTCTTTGGTTTTTTTTCCGCTGCTGATCTACTGATCTACCCTGTAAAGCAGAAAGCAACCACAATTTATTGTGTTACAGGAATCCTAGTTCTATTTTATTGCAATCCTTAGAATAACAAAATGGTTAGGCAGGAAGTGACCTGTGAATATCATCCGATTCAGACTCTGCTCAGAATGGGGCCATCTCCAAAGGTCAAGTTGCTTTATACAGATGAGTTTTGCACATCCCCAGCCATGGAGATTCTGTAACCTTTCTGAGCAATGTGTTCCAGGAACCTTCCTTGCCGTGAAAAAACTCTTACCCATAACTCTGAGTTTTCTGGGTTACTACTTGTCTCCAAGAGAAGAATCTGTCTCTGTCTTCTCTATATTTGCTCCCAAGACAGCTAAAACCCAATCAAAAAATCAACCCAAAAACCCCCTTTAGCCTTCTTTTAAAACCAACTATCTCAACTTTTTCGAATTCCTCATAATTCATGTTCTGCAGACCCCTAATGATCTCGATGGCTGGACTTACTTCAGAGTATCCATGAGCAGGTCAGACCAGATGCAGCATTTCAGATGCAATCTCACAAGTGCCAAGCACAGGGGTTTAATCACTTCCCTTTTGTCTGCTGGCTATGATCCTGTCAACAGAGCATAATACTCACACAGTGCTCACCACTATATGGTGCTGATTCTACTGAAATATTTGTATTAAATATTATTTTGGCTCCAGATAAGACAACAGCTACTTTAAAATGCACATATTTATCCGTTGATTTACAACAAAACTAAAGGATGGTTACATGATTTGGCTGTAACACACCTTATCAAAGCATTCATAGTTTCATTATTAGAATGAAAATAATGTTAATTAGAGGTTTCACAGAAGGAAGCTGCTTCACAGAATGCACATCAAGATGAGAAAAGCTGTGAAAAAAGGAGAGACAGTCTTTGACAACATCCTCTACAGTTTTCTTTACATTTCAAAGAGGTGGCAGGTGGAGGGAGAAGGAAAAGGCAAAACTTCTTGTCAAAACTAAGGAAAAGGCAAAGAAATGGAGGACAAAGGACAGAAGACAACAGAGCAGCCTGAAGATTGTTTAGTAAATAAAATACTAATGAAGATTGTTAATATGGATTGTGAAGGTTGTAAACATGAAAGAATATATCAGAGGGGGGAAGAGATGTGCGGCTGTTAGTGATCTGATATACACATAAACATTTCCTGATGCACAGAGAGAAAACTGAGCCTTGAAGACACTGAGCTAATAGTGGAAGTTATGGAGAAAAAAATAAAGAGAAAAGTACATGTCCTTTATCCAATAAATTTAATTTAGGAACAAGTAAAACCTATTTTAAAGCAGTTGTTTTAGTGCATTTTTATGCCTCCTCTCTTGCCTTTGTCAAAAGCATGACAAAGAGAATGAGCACTCTTTGACTTACTGTATGCTATCATTAAAAGCACGAGATGCAAATTTTTTAATAAGAATGTGAAGAAACTGCTGCAGCAAGAGAGGAAAAATACCTGAACCCTGTTTCTTCATGTCTGTTCTGATTTATGCAGGTTAGTTGAAACCAACTGCAAATGTCTCATCTCCTTTTGGGTCAAGAATCAGCAGGGAAAAAAACCCAGGGATTGTTAAATGACTCTGGCCTCTCGGAAAATGTTTTTATCAAGGTTCCAGATAGTGAAGTTACTTCTATGAACCAAAATCATAAAGTCTTTCTAGCAGTACTAGAGTTATAAATTTCAAGTACTACTCATGCTGCATTCATCCACATATGGGGTTATTTCACTTGCCTATGTTTCATATTCTTTTTAAAAGAAACAATATTTTGCATTAACTACTTGTATTTAATGAATATAAAAAAATAATAAAATACAAGAAAATAAGTAGCTCTGTAATCAAAGTATGATTGATTTCACAGCTTTTAAGTATCTTGTGGATGGGTAGTATTGCACGTTTAACAGTTATTTGAAGTTATCCTTTGCCTAGTGTTTTTATAACTGTCCAAAGCTAATTTTAATTTACTTTGCATTGCCTTAGATTTCTTATTTACCATAAAGTTTCTTAAGATAGAGAGGAAATGTGACTCCTTTTGGAGGAGTGTATCATTGCATCAAAACCTGACATCCACCTGGGCTAAGAAAACTGTTTGTTCCCTAGGGAAATGCTTTGAGATGGTAACTGGTTTTTATGTGGCATACCCTCCTAAATTAAGACTTTTAGTTTAGCATGCCCCAAAGCAAAACGTTTCAGGATATTTCAAGAGATCCAGGTAATATAATTGATCTTATGAAAATAGTGATAAAATTTGTTTTCTGTTTCCCTATTCATAAAGTGTATAGTATTTCATCCCTCCACTGTCAGTGGCAACTGTTAACTGCCTCTTTAAGAGTGACAAAGACTGGCTCAGTGCTGTTCCAAGGGGTGGTGAGAACTGGTCTCTTGTTCCACCAGAGGCAGGGCAGGTGGGGTAACCCTCTGTTTGGAAAAACTCTTCCAAGATCCGAGGACTTTTTGTGAAGAAGTGGTGAATTCAGTCGACACTAGCAGGCGTTTGTGTCCTGTCACAGCAGCTAAGGCCACGATTCAGTGGTTGACTTCAAACCTTGTCAAGACAAGACCGAGGAATGGGGGTTTGCAGTTATTGGGTCTCCACATGGAATGGTCTCAACAGCCTTTCAGTTCCCAACGAGGGGGAGTCAGTTACTGAACTCCAGCTTAGAAGATGGACTTCTCAGTCCTACCCAGGGAGGGAAAGCATTGGTTTTAGTGTTATTGTGCTGTTATGGGGCTGGTGTTATTATTTTGGAGTGTTCCTTTGTATAGTATTTATTCTACAGACACTCCAGAGGTTGGGTTTTTTTCCTCTGAGAGCAGAAATACTGCTGCAGCTGTAATAAAAACTATTCAGAACTGCACAAGTAAAACACTGTATGCTTCCTATCATGCAGATATATGCTATTTTTATATATATATTATTTTTATTTAATTCCTATTTTTAGGAAATTTTGGTTTGTGTTGATGAATAATTAGAACCAGGACTGGAATGCTATCCTTTTGAATAAGTAATTATTTTGTTTAGGGGTTTTTTTTCCTCCTAAAATCCATTCATATTGCAAGGTACTGGAAGGCAAAGTATTTTAATGGCCATCTTTGCAGAATATATGCCTGAATGGATGAGGAAGCAGTCATTTGAGTTAGCACTGCATTAAAAAAAAAGGTGAAGGCAGTGAAATGAGCTTAGTTTTCCATTCTTGTCTGTCACAGATGTAAATAATTCGAACATATAAGCATGTAAAGAAGTTGACAGTTGAGACTACATGTCTCATAGGATAATATTAATATTTCCTATGTACTTCAATTGGATATTCTTAAGAAAAATGTTGCTTTTCCCAAAGCATAAACCATTTAAAAGTTAATGCTGTTTTTCACTGTACACCTATGGTAAACTAGAATGTTCATGTATTTCATGTGCATGCTTATGTAATTAAGCATCCATTAATTTCTTTCTCTTTGGGAAATACTTGTGCAAATCACACTCCATACAGAAGATCTAAGATTATATCATCTGTTGTTTAAGGTAAGCATTAGGACAAGGTATTATTATTTTATGATAGATTCTTAATCCTTTCTCTCTGAAGTGTTGATGTTTTCATTAGAGTTAAAATATGTTGCATGTTTACAGAAAGCCTGAAATCTCAATAGGTGGTCCTATCAATTTTAATTATTTGAATCATTAGAACATCTAATTTTTTGCTTAAGGGTACACTGGTGTACCATTGAATCTGTTTTTTAAGGTTTTTTCCAGTTTAATGTCTGAATCCAAATTCATAAAGAGTTGGAAAAATGAGATGTCTGAGCTATAGGATTCACAGGGATTTTATATGAAGCCTATTTAATCAGGATAACACTGTTATTAATATTCATAAAGTCAGCTGGAACACAAATGACAGACTATGGAGCCTAAAATTTTTTACTTGTGAATTTATTAAAAGCAGCTTAAAAAATTAATGGAATTTAAGTAAAGTTGACGAAAATGAAAATCTTATGCTAGCAGAAAAAAATCTATATTAGAACTTTGTCTAAGACCATCTTGCATTGATATCTTTGACAGATTTCATTGGTACTTAAAGAAGAAAGATGCATGAATGGTCATTTAAAAGGATTTAAACACATTGGCACATTAATTTTTACATGAATAATAAGTAGTTTCCAAAAGCAATTAACTTACAGTGTACAAGATTTGAATAGAAAAATAGGACTGTGACATCAAAGGGCAAAGCAAATGTGCTGTACATTTTAAACTTTTAATAATATGACTTCTTAAAATAATTTATTTCATTTTCACAGTAAGTAAAGTAACAGTGAAGGTTACTGTTACAGCTTGGGTCTGTTTTGAAATACACCAAGATCTGGAACAAGTAAATATTTTGATGTCAAAGTGCTATTGCTAAAGAATAATGTCAGGCTTTTACAGTGATCAGGTGCTTTTGAATCAAGCTTTCCTGAAGTTCTCAGTTAAATACTGTCCACAGTGTGTGTTTTTTCTCCCATGCTGCTATATGCAGCACTGGGAAGCATTTGTTATTTCTGTAGTGGGCAAAAGTGTTAGATCTGAGATTTCTTTCATTATTAGGAAGATACTGGATAATTTATATTCATATTTGCAGGTGGGTTTGTACTTAACTATGAATTTTCTGTGACTTCAATTTTATATTCAACAGATAAGGACAATTTATTTTTTATTTTCACTTTCATTATGTAGTTTAACACTAGCACAGGTTGAATAAATGGATAGTGAATAAAGAAATTAACTCTGGATTTAAAATTAACTCTAGCATTTGGCTTATGGTTTCATTTTTTATTTTTGGTTTTGTCTCACTCTACCAGAACACTTTATTTTAATCTCCAGCTTTAATTTCTTTTGATTATTAGATTTATTATTAAGAGATTGTCTTCAAATGAAAGTAACAATTTAGAATAATAATATTCAATTTTTCCAATTATTCCTTTGGTGAAAACCTTCATGGCCAGCTTCTGATTGTTGTTGTTGGGGTGAAGTTAAACACCGACTGAATAATGATGGTTCAATAAGTTTTGGTTCCAAAAATACCTAATGTTCAAAGTACCTATTATGAAGGTACATGTAAGTGTTTTGCACAAGTCAGTTACCTATTGCAGAGTTTGTGTTCAAAGCAACCAGTTTAAATATTTGGTATCTGGAATATTTTGTTGTTCTGTTTACTAACATTTTTACTTCTTACTGTGGGAAAATTAAGTGGCAAACCCTAGGGAGCCCCAAAAATCTTTCCGTTTGACTTTTTCCAGTAGGAGACCTTAATCTGATATCAACAATCTTTTTTTATTTCCTCTTTGTGTAAACCAGAAGATTCATATTAATTCGCAAAACCTATTTCACCTATGAAGACAGTCTCTTGACTTCGGTCACCAGTTTTTCCTTTGCCATACTCTATTATTTCCGGGAGAGGGCAGCATTTTCCTGTATCAGGTACGGGAAGGCACATGTCCTGCTTAGACTGTCAATGTTTCTTGTAATTACTCCCAGTATATTTGTTGCTTGCTTATGAATTAACTTGCATTTATGGAACTAAATCATTCCAATCATTTAATTACACCTGAGGAGCTGAACTATAATTGCTTGCTTCCAACTAGGATCTGATATGGCTTGAGCAGTATTAATTTGGTGTTTACTTTTCTGAGTGCTAAAAGCATTAAAATGATTGTGCAATGGGATTACATTTTACTAATTGCTGGCATTCATTAGCTGGGTAAATGGCGAGGAAGAATGACTGTATATTGTGGAGGGATAAAATTATGGTTTTAAATAGTATATTACTAGGCACATTAAGGCCCTAAGACATGTTTTAAAATACTCCAGAGGTTATTAAATACCATATTTTCTTCATGTCTTGCTATATGAATATCTTATTAAAATACTGCAATTATTATGAACCTTTTTGTGCAATATGTAGGGAAATGGCTTCATTGACAGAAACCTATTTCTTGATATTAATAACCTTCTATATTTTCAGCTAATCCAAAAGTAAATGAGGAACTTAGGAAAAGATTGCCAACTTCAAATCAACACAGTTACACAGAATTGAAGAAGAAGCGTACAGCTTCATTTGAGGGATTCTTGTAAGGAACTCAGTGTTCCACGATATGAGGTGAAGTTCTTATTTTTTTTAAGACCTAAGCACATCAAATTCTATGCTTTTTTTAAAATCATGCACATTTATAGTCAAAAACAAAATTGAGCTAAATATGTATTTCTTAAATGCTTAATGTAAATGTTAGTGTGGAATCTTAAGTGTTTGTACAATTAAATTTGTTTATAATCTTAAAGATGAAAATGAAAACTTCTGCCTTTTTTGGTATTGTATAGCAAAATAATTTCTTCTACTGCTTTATTAGTTAGAACGTGTCTTGGTATAATATGCTTGAATTTTGAAATATGTCCTTAAATATTTTTTGAACTCTTACATTTTTCAGCACAGTGGCAACTCTCTGGGTGTTTTCGTGATCCAACCACTGTCTCTTCAAGTCTCATGTTTTATCTTTTTAATAAATGTAAAAAAAAAAAAATAGCAGGGAAAACATACAAAATAAGCACAACTACGTAGTTAAAGATGAAAAATTGTCTGTACAGTACTTTTTAAAAAAGGTTCTTGAGTAAGTAATAAAATTTATGGTAAGCATACTGTGTTAGCAAGATTACAGATTTATTTAGATTTCCTTGAGATACGGAATAGAGTTGGATTTTTAACACATAAGGGAGCATATATTTTAATACCCAAGATGATGCCTGGCATAACATTTTACTGTAGATCTTATTTTTGAGTATTGGGGGTTATTTCTTGAAGATCTTTGATTATATGAAATACTGAAACAGTGTAATTAACTATGTTCTGAACCAATATGTATGCAAATATTAGGATGCATTATTTAACTGTTTAGAAAGACCTGCAAATTCAGAGATGAGGTGATCATGAACCACTTAAACTAGGACCACTTTTATCTAGGAAATTAAAGCAGGAGAAAGAATTCTGTAAAGTGAAACGCTACCACCATCTATAATATTTACCAAAGTGAGCAGTCTCATTGCCTCTAGTGGGACTACTTGGTGTGATTTGGACTGTGCTCAGTAACATGTACTTCCAAAACCAGACTCTAGAAGAAAAAAAAACAAACTAATAAATATTTCAACAAAGGCTTTACCTGGAACAAACAGCTGAACCAAACAATTATAAAAATTAGATGAGTGAAGAAAAATATGTTACTGAGAAATATAGTTTTTCACTGACTGTTAAAGTATGCAGACTTTATTGTCCTGGTATAAATATTTTTACATCATTTGTCTTGTAAATTTTCCGTCAAATGAAGGCAAAGTAAAGGTGTGTTCCAAGTTTATTTATCTAGAGTTTACTTTATTTTAGCTCTGAAATCTTCAAGCAAAAACTGGACTCAGTGCCAGATCAAACAAGTTCAGAAGCACAAATGGAGAACTGGTCAAAAGGTAGGGACTTTAAAGATATTAATAAGGAACCTCTGTTGTTGTACCAGTGCGAGGCAGCGACTGGAATGTATTTGTTCTTGCTGATGTATGACTGACTTTGGAAGAAAAGAAATGAAAAAAAAACAGAACCACACACTGCCCCCTAAAAGTATTCGGGGTAACAGGAGAACAGCTACACAAATGTAAAGCTTCACCTTTATTTTCTGGATTATTGAATAATGTTTTTGTGTAACTTTAAAAAGTCTTATTTAAATTCTGGGTCTGTACATTGCATTTTACTTTCCAACATTTTTTCCTTAATAGTTTACAATAAATCTGAAGCTCTGTCTTAAAGTAACTTTCTTGGCTATTCACTCCTGGCTAGGATAAGATTAAACCTACTAATATTAACTAGTTTCTCAGTAATACCTTAAGTGAATGTAGAGAGTAAGGTAAGGCTTGGAGGTAAAGGGGGCCTTGTTTAACTTGGAACTTCCTTGGTTCATGGAGTTTTCATCTCCATCAGGATGGAAAGATCTTTTTGTATTTGTATTTGGTTGACCAGACATGATTGTTCACATATACATTCTTCTATGTTTCATGGCAGAAACTTAGGGAAAAAAAAAAAACACTGAATTTGAGAGTACATTACATGACTGACTTTGCAGAAGAGAATTGTCAGAAAGTGGCTTGTGAATAGATAATAATGTGCAGAAGGAAGAAAGGGAAGGAGACCTTCAGTTAAGGGTGGAGTTTTGCCAGTAAGTGACTATATGTAGGTTAAAAAAACCCAAAATGGAATAGGTGTTTCCCCTCTATATCAAAGCCTAATAGCATCTTGTATATTTCCTTTTTTTGAATGTTATACCATGTATTCTCTCTCAGAAGATAATAAATGTCAAGTTTCTCATGAAGAATCTGTTTAGAAGAAAAAAGAAATGCTCCATCTTGGAGGTGATGCTTTTCTTTCATCTGTAAATGGATTTCTATCTGTATTATTCTGTAAAATAAACTACTTATAGACCTCTTTTAATTTATGGAATTTTGAGCTGTTACTGAGTGAAGTTAAAAAGTTTTTGAATTATGTAGTCTGTAAACAAAAGTAGTCATAGTGGAGTAACAGTGGAGAATTGTATTCTGATGATTTAAATGTGTAATGGCTTAATCAGGTTTAGTATTTTTAGACCTTTAGGGGTCAGCATACCCTAAGAATGGTTCAAAAGGTTAAGTTTTTCAAAGTAGACAAGTGAATACTATAAGCTGGTTCTCTGTGAAATATTTTCTGTCTAATTGCAAGAAATGGTGTTCTGCTGCTGCTCACAGATATTTTTTAAATTGAATACTTACTGAGGTTCATGTGTATTATTTTTTGATGCATTAAATTAATATTTTTATCTGTTTAGAAAACTATTTCTTCCAAACTAACGCTTACAGATTCATGTATCCAATAGATGTTGTTATATAGAGAAAAGTAAAATTGAAACACTTTTTTAGCGTTATCATTAATAAGTCATGTAATTCTTATGCTTTTGCTCCTAGGAAAGTTAGAAAAAGGGATTATGGGTAAATTTCATGTCATCATACTTGTTTGGATGAGGAATTTCTTTTTTTTTGCAGAATTTTATTTGCTTATTAACAGCTAAATTACATTCACTTATCATAAAGGTAATAGCTGAATTTCAGCAACATGTTTAGCAAGTGCCCTTGGTAGACATTCTGGTGCATTTTCTCATTGTATTACTAAATCACAGCAGCTTTTCATTTTCTGTCTACATTGAAGAGTGTACCATGTTGTGTTCTGCTTGCTTTGTCATCATGGTATCTTTCCTTTGTGCATCTGGTACTGTACTGTATTTAGATGTTCCTTGCTTGTAGCTTGAAAGTTTAAGAGCTGGGTTTAGAATAACCCCATAATGATTTATTCAAATTTTTAATAACATACTGAAATATTGGAGATTAAATTATTTGTCAGCAAATAAGGATGGTAAAGCAAATCTGAGATTAAATTCAGCCAACTAGGTGAAAATTTAGTCAAGCAATGAGAATTTTAAAAAGTAGGAAAAATGTTAGATACAGAGAAGTGGTAGGTTTATGGCAGTTATGTGGGATAATATGTAACCTGTTAATAGATGTTATAAAATAAAATGCTTGAAAGAAAGGTAGTGTTTAAAAGGAGTATATCTGAAGTGTTTGATAGGTGAGATTTTTCTTTTAAGTTTCTGAGTTGTTTGGAGTATACTATCCCTGTGTGGATTGAAGACTGTCTCTGTTCTAGTATATTAGGAAGAATTAAAGAACAGTTTATGTGCAAGGCTTGTTATTTTGTGTTTGCATCTAATTTAAATGTACTGTTTATTTCCACAGCACCTAGTTTTTAATAGGAGGTTAGTGCCTTTTTTCATATCTCTCTAAGCATGCTTAAGAGAAGGTACCAGGAGCACTGGCAGCAGATCGGTGAAGACTATGTCATTTCAAAATGAAAAATATTCAGGATCCAACCTAGAAAGCCCAGAATAGTATTCCATTATGAAAATAAACTCGATTGGCAAATAGGTGCATATCTTTGCATTGCAGTGATGATGGGTGTGGGGAAGCACATTGCACCTTGGTGGAATTGTTACTTGAGCAGGGTTTACATGCATGATAGAAACTACACAACCATGAATACTGCGACAGCACAAGAGGGAACCTGAAATTGGGTGGGTTTTGTACTTACATATACATTCAGGACTCAGTATGGCAGTTTTCCAAAATAGTTAGCAGGATAGGAAAGTGGTGAGTGTGCAAATACTGGAGTTAAATTTGTGTCTCATTTGATTCTTATCATGTACCACATTTGAATGGGTGCAGCTATACTCCTTCTGTATTATGTGGTCTTTCACGGTTGTAATGTTTTTGTTTATGTCATATGTCTGAGCATCCATTATTTCAGGACAGGGCAGAAAATAGGATAAGTTCTAGAATATCAAGTACTTTTTGATCTGTTTTGACAACAAAATCAGAGTTTTGCTGACTCCAGAATTAAAAGCATTGTATAATTATTATTCTTAAATTCCTAAAACAAGGTAAAAAGTTGATTAATTTTAATGGCAAAGTGGTTTGCTTTCTTAAAAGGTGGTTATTATATTTTTCAAACAAAGAAATAAATATATGTATTTCTAAGCCACTGCTTAAAGCACATATTGAAGTGTAAGTCAGTGAACCAATTTCACTTGTAGGAATTTAATGGCAACTCCTAGTCATCATCCGTATAGAAACTTTCCACGTAACTTCAAAAGAATGGTTGCACAGCTTGTAAATATACTTTAATATTGCGTGTCTGGACACTGGCTTTAAAGAGATGTGATAGTGCAGATTGAAACAGAACTGTAGAATCATCTTGTGTGAGGAAATCTGGAAAGGAAGTGTTTTATCTGGTGGGGAGCTGTTTTGGGGTTTTTTTTTACATTCATGGTAATTGAGGAAATGTACAGTCATATGCATAGGTTAAGAGAAATGAGTGATCTTTTTTTGCTAACTTTGACTGTCTTACCAGAAGTAGAAGGCTTTTCTGGTCGTGTAATGATTTTAATGTGCTTTTTTGTGGGTTTGTTTTTGTAATAGTAATTACAAGGGTTTTTTTGTCTGGAATTATTGTTGTGTGACTTTGACACACACAAAGATAAATGGGTAAAGCTTTGAGAGTAATATGGTCTTATAAAGGTTGTTCATCTCATGCTCTAGTTGGGTCAAAAAGCAGCTAATGGTAAAGGTACTGCTTTCTCTTTCTCCAGAATATACCCACTACAGCTGTAAACACTCTAAAGTAAATCTAAAGCCCTTCTTCTAAGGTTAAAGCAGAGGCAGAAGAAACCAAACTTGACATATTGAAGTCTGTTTCTTCTTTTACATGCCTCAACAGGAGATACTGTGAGCCTGTTCTCCCTCTCCTACTCTCTTTTAGCAATAAAGAGTGCTGTTTACCTGTGAAAGAAAGAAGGCCTGGATATTGCATGGGTGTGTATGCAGAAAAATCTATGTGATATGCAGAGGCAGAGTCCTCTACACCCATGTGTCTAAATTGATCAGTGTCTGCAATGTGTGTTGTGATTTCAGCATCAAGCTCGCTGTGTGCTAGCTGTCAGAGATCCCCTTGCAAAGCAACAAACATAGTTGCAGGTTTCTCTCTATGGTGTAAAAGGCAGAAAAGAGGCTGAGAAGACGAACTTTCTGAGTAAAACACAGGAAGAATGGCTACTAATTATTGAACAACACTGCATGTGGGAGATGAAGAAAATATCTTCCGTGGAGAAAGAGGGAATAGTGTGACATGACTTAGAAGATAAGAATGAGCTAATGATAACTGAAAAATCATCAAATACTGCGTGGTCTTTTTTGTAATATATAGTCACCCTTTTGTGTGTATAAATTCTCATCTCTCCCTTTTTCATCCCATTTCTTTCCTTGTACATTTTGAGAGCTTGAATGCAGTGCATTTCTGGCCAGGCTGCATGTAGAAAGGCTCCTCACCAGAAGCACAATTAGATATGCAGTATTTTCCTGACTCACTGCAGTGTTGTGAATATGATTTTGTTCAAACCTTTACAATATGCTCAAAATGCGTAGTGCCTTATCTGTACCACTAAAGATGGAGAGAATGCACACCTTAAAGTATTGCACTTTGAATCACTTAAGTAAGTAAAATATGAGTGCAGCTAACTTCAGAATGTCTTAAAATGTGCTTCAGAGAGAACAGCACTTATTACCACAGTAATTTTTAAGTAGTGCTTCAGAAGGAGCTTTGAAAGACCTAGTACAAGTGCAAGAGGAATTTGGTTATTTTCTTCTTTAGAAACCTTCATTAACTCTATTTTCATAAAGCTACAATGCTCCTTAAGAGCAAAGGCATAACAAAAATTTCATTAAATTAAAGGCCCTTCAGGGAGACTCTTATCTGTGAGTTCACCTGCATCTTTAGTAGACCATTACTTGGAATAAAAGGTGTGAGGGCAAGGTGTCTTATGACCACTTTATGTAGAGTG